AGAGAGAACTGTAAGAACTTTCTTATCTCAGAAGCTTGTAAGATCTTTATAAGATTGAAACAGATATTTATAGATACAGTGATACTGTTTCACTTTAATCTCTTACTCATAATCAGATTGAAGATAGATATCTTCTTCTTTGTAATTTCAGAAATAGTCTTATAACTACAGTTAAATGAGAACTGGGTTTCAGTGACCTTTTTCTCACAGAAGATATAACTCACAGAGATCAACTATGACATTCATAATCAGAAGCTTCTTATAATAGTGAAATTCTTTCATCACTGATGTCACTACTTCAAGAGCCTTATAACAGTGATTACTGTTAGAACTGATCATAACAGCTTACAACAGTTTGCTTCAATTAAGAAACTCTTATAATAATAGATTTACTGAGTTCAGAGACTGAGTGAGTTCTGATTCAAGATAGAACATATCAAGAGAACTAAGAACTCAGTGAACAGACTCTCTCACAGGCTAGACTATATTAAGAAGATCAGGGTGACAGACACAGAGAGACTAGAGAAGACAGAAAAGCTTCATGAAATGCTCAGACTGAGTGTTATAAAGAGATTGACTGAAGAGTCTCTTAATTCTCTGTAAGAGAAGAGAAAGAAGAGAGAAAAGAAGTCTGTATAACTACTCTCTATAACACTGAGAGTTAACACTCTGAGAATCTCTGTGAGAATTCTTGAAGAGAGTATCTATAATCTGAAGAGTTTGCAGGCTTTGAGAAGTGCTGTGAAAGATCTGATATAAGAAGAAACAGAGTATAAGTCTTTGTAAGATCTTCTATTCAGATTGTCTGAACTGCAACTGAAGAATAAATATACTCAGTATATTCAGAAACTGCTCACAGCAGAGATCAATTCTGCAGAAATAAAGAATTGAAGAGACTTAAATAGTCTCTTGTAAAGAGAGAACTGAATTTATGTACCTATGAATGAGTTTCTATATATAGAACTTATTAAAAGATATTATAACTCTTCTCTAGCAGGTCATTTTACAGATACTAGAACTCATGAGTTACTTCTAAGAAAATACTTCTGACTGAAGATGTGAGAACTTATGATGAAGATAGTGAATTCTTGTACTATTTATCAGAGTTCATGAGTAGTGTGATTCAGATTATATGAAGAACTTACTCCTCTACTCATTCTATGAAAACCTTGAGAATAGCTAGAAATGAATGCTCTTGTGAGTCTCTCTGAAAGTAAGAACATATATGATGCCTGCTTTGACAGTGTGCTGGTGATAGTGAATTACTTTATTAAGATAACACACTTTATACTCATCTGCAAGAACTTGAAGTCAAAGAATTTGACTCATATCTTTATTCACAATGTGATTCAGTTGCATGAATTATCTGTAAACATTGTCTTAGACAGAGAATCAATCTTTGCAGAAGAGTTCTGATCTGATCTGATAACTATACTGAAGATCTTATAAGATCTAAGCACAGCTTTTTATCAATAGACAGATGATCAGACAGAATATCTGATGAGTATATTAAAACAGTATCTGTGATACTTTGTTAATTATAATCAGAATGACTGAGTATATTGATTATTACTCACAGAGTTCATGTATAACAACTTAAAGCATGTCAGCACAGATAAAATTCTCTTTGAGATGCTCACTGAGACTTATCTGTAGATAGACTGGCCGCTGAGACCATGAATTTCACATTTGGTCCCATTTGGTCTGGTTCTATACATTTCTTGGCGTGAGTCCCACCAGGACCAAGCCTCAAAAAAATCTGAAAATGGACCATTTCTGAGAGAAATGGTGTGAAAAATGACCAGATTTAATTCAAGAACAGTGAAATGAGAGTAATTTTCCAGGATAAACTGTGAAAGATGATCATTCTTTTAAAATCAGAATGAGACTGAGACTGAAGATCAAAATCAGTCTCATTCAGTTCATTCAGTGATTGCTTATATAATCAGAATTTGATAATGATTATTGATAACACTCATGAAACAACTAAATACATTCTTGTACAAGTTTATTCTTCACTTTCTCATGAAAACTACACTTCTCTGATATACTGTGATCAGAGGTATTAAACTGTCTGATAATTTCATGTTTTACAATCATGAGTTTCTTGATTGTTTCTTCTTGTAATTGTCTCTGATGATAGTGACAAATATCTTGACTTGAGTTGAACTTTCACTTCATTCTCACCCCTGTCAATGGAATTGTCAGAATATCATGCATCATCAGTGCAACAGTTGAATATATACTCTCAACAATTTTCTATAACTCTAGAATTGATTTGACATGTAAATTTGTTGAATTATCTTGAAGATAGCAGTTAAATTCAGTTTTACAAGTATGTAGTTTTGCCTGATTTTCAGTTGTAATCAATGTATGCAAGTTCTGTTTCAAAGTTAGTATTATAGTTCTATGTGATATGAAGTGTTATCAAAGATCATTACTTACTAGAGAATTGTATTTCACTGTCTTCACATCTTGAACATCTGCTCATTCAAATCTCTGATAGTTGGTATTGTAGTAGTCTCAGGCTAATTTGACATATGAGTCTCATTCCTTCTCTGTTCAATCTTGAGAAGTGTAGATGTTAACTTGACAGAAGAGATCTAGTAGAGCTGCTACAGCATAGTACTCTGTAAAAGATTGTTTCATTTTGCTGTAGTAATATGCCAGTTTATTTCTTACAGTAATAATAGCCTGCACTATAGCATCATCTCAGACTGAATTTCTTTTTGAGTGATTCAACTGCTTCTCAAGATGAGTAAATAAACTGTTATACACTCATCAGGCTGACTGCAGCATTGGTGTATGAGTGATTGAGACTGTCTTTGTTATCTTATAAAACTGAAACAGTAAATCAATCACATATTTCAACTGAGTTCACTTCATATCAGAAAGTTTCAATATCTGAATCTTTTTCTGATCAGAGTGTTGCACTCAATGATCAATCATCTGATACAATTGAAGAGTCTGAACAGTCATCTCATATGTTAAACTTCACTGTGTTCTAACATTCTGTATCATATTCAGTGATGTGACTGATTTGTTTATTTATTGAATATCATGGAATTGTTGTTATTATTTAGAAGAGGTACAAATCACATTAGCAATGTTTCAAATCTATGATATTTAAATTATTAGTCAATCTATTCAAAATTAACAGTAGCATTATCAAAAAGTGTTATCAAAAAGCAATATTAAAAAGTGTTATCAAAAAACATTATCTTTTACAAAATGAATGCAAAAGTTACTTAAGTAATCACTTTCATCTCATTCTCATTTCAAGAATCAGTCATCTCATTATTCTTCATCTCAATGTTAAGATTCTTTATCAGTGTTTGCATCACAAGTTAAACCACATGAGCAATGCAGAGAATATGACCTTGTTTATTATTTCAGAAATGTAAAGTCAATTTTTGCTTCAAGCTCTTCATCATAGTGTAGTTATTCGCAGCATTGTCAGTTGTAATTGTAAGAAGACTGGAACTAATATCTTAATAGTCATTTTTAATCACAGTCATTAATATCTCTGTTATATAATTCTCAGTATGACTACTGATTAATGATTCAAATTCAATTAATGTCTCTTGATAAGTTCAGTTCTCATCAATGTAATAACATGTAACTCTCATAAATGCAAGATTGTTTGTACTAGTTCATGCATTCACTGTGAGAGACACTCTTCAATGATTCTTCAACTCTGATCCTAGATGTTGCATATTGACTTTGTAGTGTGTCTCAAGGTTGAACTGAAGACAGAATCAATGTGAAATATGAAGATTTAAATTAAGCATTTGAAGAAGTGTTCAGAATTCAGAGTTTTCAATTGATTGAAGAGGAAGATTCAGAGATATACATATGTGAAGTAATTATTCACAGAAGTTATCAGATGAGAGTTGTGAAATCAGAGTACTGATACAGAGTCATTTTTGCATGATTTTCTTCAAATTAGAAAGTTAGCATTATCAAAAATCATTATCTGATAGAGCAACTTACCAGCTCAGTAGTAATTTTCTGATTATTTTCCTTTTATTGTCTGCATTCTGATGACTTCAGATGTTGGGAAATTTCTTCAGAGCTATAATCAGTCTATGATGAATGTTTCTGAATGAAGTTATAGTGATTATAGCAGAGAGATGACTCTTCAGTAATCTGCAATGCAACCTGTTGATAATTATTTCATAGTTCAGCTTAATATTTGTGTTGAGTTTTTCATAAATTTCATGACCTGGAATCAGATGTGAAGAATGAAGTGATCATTCATCATGATTAAAAGAGAGCATTCTGTGTTGAATTGTAAATAATATAGACTTTATAATTCACAGTGATTTCTTGAAGAGTTTATGAATCTTTAATAGAAGTAAAAGAAGTGAATTCAGAAGATATGATAATAATTTGAGAAAGATGATAATTTATTTTCAATAACTGATCACTGATGTGTGTAAGAAGAATTAATATAAGAGAAAATAATCTTGTTTCTTAGCTTAGTTATAATTTTAGTACTAACTCAGATTGAATATTATCAATGTATAAAAGTAAATAAACAATCTTGATTAATCTCTGTCATATTTCTTGAAATATATTAATATTGTGAAAGAGAGTGTTACTAAATTATATTATCAGATGATATTATTAAAAATATATTAATATTGTGAATATCAATGTTGAAAAAATGTTGATACTTATACATTATAGTGATTTGTGAATCATGATAGTTAAATATATATATATATATATATATTGTTCCTGACTTGATTACAACTTGTACAATAATTTTTAAAAACTCAAAATTAATTTCAATTATTAATAATTATGAACTTATAACTAAACTAACTAATATAAAAAGAAAAAAACTTTTTCTACTCATCATCTTTCTTCTCTTTCTCATTCTTCTTATCATTCTTCACAATTCACTTCTCATTCTTCTTCTTCTTCTTCTTCTTCTTATCTGAGATGATAATCATCTCAAAATCTCTCTTCACTACCTTCTCAGAGAAGGGTTCTCACTGCTCTCTCTCAGCCAGGTCAACCTGCATCTCAAAATCCCATATTTCCTGGTCTGCTGTCTTGGGTTTCACCCCAGCAGTAAGCAGATTGACATGCTCAGAGAGCAGGGCTGCCTTCTCAATATTCTGAATCATGGAGTACATTTGAGACCTGAACAAGGCCTCAATTCCCTTCTTCTCTGCCAGCTCCTGCTAATCAATTAGAGAACAGAAGTATTATCAAAAATTATTATCTCTCAATAAATAAAAAACTTATCAGTTTTGACTTCTTTGTCTCTCACTTCAACACTCTCTCAATCTTCTTCTGTCATTACTTATTTACAGTAACACTCTTCTTCTCTCTCTCTCTCTTCATCTTGATCTCAAATCATTCTCAGAACTTCTTCTGATTCTATCACTGCTGCATGAGACTCTTCACTGTCTTCTTCTTCAATCTCTCATGAGCAGTGTCATCTGCATTATTCCTATACTTAGTTCAGTCTAAATCTATCAGAAGTGTTACTTAAAATCATTATTATTCTACTCTCTTGCAGAGCCTTTTCAAGGTATTATAACATGCCTTGCAATCTGTCTCCTCTCACTTGAATATCTTCTTCTTCTCTCTCTTCAATCTGTGACAGTGCTCACGCGCCTTGGTGGTCCACAGGACCACAGAATATTTGAAGAGAGATGATATGATTGATTTCAGTGAGTATTGAAGAGAGGTGAAGACAGAAGAGGCAGCCAGAAATAATATAATAATGATGATAATAATGATAGTGATGATGATGATGATGATGATAATGATGATAGTGATAGTAATAATAATAATGATGATAATAATGATGATGATAATGATGATGATGATGATGATGATGAAAGAAGAAGTGTATTGAAATATATTACTGACTTATCAAATATAAAGAGACTCAAAGAAAATATTAACAGCTTTCAGCAATGTACAGAAACAGCTACAGTGTTGCATAGTAACATCATCTTCATTCAATATATACACTGTTGATATTCTTTATATACAGTTATCATATAATCTATATCAAAGATACATGCAGAAAACAGATCTTTGTTACTAGAATAAATGATTACAGCAATTCTCTGTTTTCATATCATAAAGATAAGTTATTCTTATTTCTTTCTTCTCTCTTTTCTCTTCTTCAATCAATCACTAATTTCAAGCTGATATGAAAACTATTAAAACACTCTCAGAAATCCTCAAATTGAAGAGTATAGACTAATCAAATTTCAAATGCAGAAGAAATCAAATTATCTTCTACAGATTCAATTATCCATCCCCTCTTAAATAAAACAGCAGTCACATCCCCCCCCCCCCTCAATCAAATGAAACATGGCCCATGAAAAGCGAGTATCACATCAGGCCATAATGGCCAACACAGCCCCAGCATGCAGAGCTGCATATGCGCAGCGCATGCTGGACTGAGAGACTGCATGAGTTGCAAACTGGCAGCAGCATCCCAGGGAGAGCTGTGTGGCGTGAGAAAGCTGCAACTCTCAGCCATGTGCACAGAGAGTGAATCACTGCAGTAAGTGCATGTGCATTGAAGTAACACTTTTTGATAATACTCAGTCTCTGATATGATGAAAATAGAGTCTCTTCATGAGATTCATTTCTACCAGAAGTCAGAGAATCTTATATTTCTCAAGATCATCTTCACATGCCTTGTCTGTGAAATTGATGAGAGAAATCATTGATTTCAGTGTTCTGTTCTTGATGTCATTCAAGTGACAGCAGAGTTCACCCTGGTCACACTTTTTAAGTGTATGTTTTCTAATTATTCACATTTATATAGATATATACTGATTATTTGTTAGATGATGTTAAGACAATGACTCATTACAGCTGTGTTACTCTCACTGTGAGAGATACACAGTTGATGATGAACATTGCAAAGACTCTGAGAAGTGAGTATTTTGAGAGTACTGCAGCTCTGTAATCTTGATTTTTTTTTATTTTTATTTTTTGTTTTTTTCTTTTTCTTTTCTTTTTTTTTTTTTTAATTTTTCTTTCTCTTTCTGTCTTTTTCTTTCTCTTCTTTTTTTCTTTCTCTTTTTTTTTTTTTTTTTTTTGTTATGATTTTTTCTTGTTGTTTTGTTTTTTATTTTTTTGTTATTTTTTGTATTTTACATTTTTTTTTTTAATTAAAATGATATTAATTATAATCTGTGTTCAGAAAAGTAATAATATTTGATAACACTCTCTGTTGAATTTTCAACAAATGAGCACTATGTTATGATATTATGTAAGTGAGAAATGATTTCATGATCTCATTTAATGTCATTTTCAATAATGAGATCAGAATGAAAATGTGACTAAGAATTCAAACATATTCTTTATCTGAGACTAGATTTTTATTTGAAAAGTGAATCTAGAACCTTTAATATTTGAAATAACGGGATTTAGAATCAATGTGATGAACACAAACCATGACCAGGAGTAATGCTTTTAGGCAATGTGACAACTGTAAAGTTTGATCCTGGTCTCAGACACGGTCACACGGTTAGTCTATCTGTAGATGATCTTGATGAACTCATGAGAGTACACTATAGAGTGTGATAATGTCTGTGAATGAGCTGAGAGAATTCAGAAGATTCAGAAGAAAGTTCATGAATTCTTGAGAAAGACTCAAGAGTATCAGAAGAGATACTATGACTTTAAGTATATTACAAAGAGTTTCAAGAAAGATGATAGAGTCTGACTAAGTCTAGAAAATATTATTATATGAAGATCTAGTAAGAAGCTGAATCTCTTACAGACAGAGTCTTATAAGATTGTGAAGAAAGTTAGTTTACAGTTTTATAGATTGAAACTGTTATCTGAGTTACAGATATATAATATTTTTCATATCTCTTTACTTTATAAATATAAGAAATTCTTAGAAGAGAATTCTGTGACTCATCACTCTGTTTATAAAGCACTAGAGAGTGAAAAAGAATATCAGATTAAAGAAATTATTGACTTAGAGAAGTAAGATCACAAGCTCTGATTCAAGGTTCAGTGATAAGAATATTCTGATAAGATGAATAAGTTCACTTAAGAATTATCTGAGTAGATAAGATATCTGCAGAAGCTGAGATATGACTTTCATATTATGAATTCTGATAAGTCAGAATAATGTGGTCTTTACTAAGAACCTGATTGTGATAAAGATATTAACACTGTCATTTATAAATTCTAGTCTATAAGATAATGAGTTTCTACTAAAATGAACAGTCTGCAGTGTATGTAAGAAAAGAAGAAATCATATTCTTATTAAAGCTAAAAAACAGAAAATAAACAGGGCTGTGAACACAATTTAGAGATTAATAAAGAAAAAATAAAGAAAACTCATATTCACACTCTCAATATCTGTGATACTTAACTCTCTCACAACTATCAATTTCTTTCTTTAAAGAAGCAGAGAGTATTATATCTGTGATACAGATAATTATTGCATTTGATGTGAAGATTATCAGAAATGCACAGACTTCAGAGAAGCTGAATATCAGAGTGCATGCAGTTGCAGCAGAGCCTTGAGAACTGATTATCTGTGTATATGATTAGATATCTCTCATGAAGCTGTGTCTACTCTCTCAGTTGTGCTGAAGTATTCAGCCTGAAAATAATTAAGATATGAAGAGAGAGCTCATCTATTCAGGTCAACTTCTGTCACAAATTCATGACATTTGCATTGTCTTGATTACTCAGATTTTGCAGGTATCTGAGAATTCATCTCTCATTGACAATGAGATTGTGAAAATGTGCCATGGTGTGAGAATCATTGATAGAGAATCTAGGCATATTCACATATATCTGATCAGAGATTGTGCAGGCAGAGAGAGAGTGATTGTAGGCTCACAGAGCTGTAGAAGACACTGACAACATCAGAAACTTTATAAGAACTGTCAGCTAGAGTCTGTAAGAAATTACTTGTAAGAAGACTTACAGTAAAGAGAGAAACTGCACTGCTTAGAGTCAGAAGCTGATCTGAGAAAGAAATGAAGTGAGCTGCTGGTCTGAAGATCAGGTGCAGTGACAGAGCTGAAGAAGATGAAGATGTGATTATGAGTAGCAGTGTCCCTGCTTTATCAGCTGATAAAAAGTGATCAGAGAAGTCATAGAAATACTCACAAGAAGCTCAGTAATGATCAGACATTATTATAAAGATATTGAAATTAAAAAATTTTTATTCTTGAGAAGTTCTTGAATCAATATACAGATATTGTTAGAAATACTCTCTCTCTATCATCTAAGTGAAAACACTTTGCAGATAAATGAGAATACTCACAGTTTATAAGAATAGAAGCTGTTACAGAAAAAGAGAAAAGAAGATGAGATTTTATAAATAGATCTGAGATATTTATACTACTCTAGAGAGGTTTGCTTATACTGTGAGTGATCTCATAAAACAGTCAGATCACTCTAGTAAATAAGAGTGATTGTGAATTACAGACCTGAATCTTTCTATATAACTATAAAGAGTGATTGCAGACTGCAGATATCTTGATTCTGCAATTCTACAGAGTTAATGAAAGAATGAAAAATTTCTCATAATTCTACAGTGTCAAAGAACAATGATTTATGAGAATGAGTGAAAGATCAACTCATGAATGTTTCTCTTTGATGAGAATGATCTCACAGAGAGTAATTCATCTGTAAGATGAATCTGTGTAATGATCATATAAGAATCTTGTAAAAATGATTGAGAGTCAACTGAAACTCTTCTGTATGAAAGATGTAAGATGAATCTGTGTGATAGTTAGAGAAGAATCTATAGATCACAAAGAATCTCATGAAACAAGAAACTGAGTGACAGACTCTTTTCTCTTTATAATAACAAGGGATTTTTCCTCACTGAGATTTTTTATAGATATAAAGAATTTTTAGTGAGTATCACTGCAGTGCTGAGCTGATTCTATGAAGTCACTCAGTGAAAGGCTTCACAGATGAAGTCTTAGAGAGGAAGAGATATGTAAGAAATCTCACTTCTCACAGATTCTTTACCTCTATTCCTATCTCTCATGTAATTAATAGAGCTAGCGGCCCTTGGCTACACACAACTATATAGACTGGAGTTCATGAATACTATTCACAACTCAGCTTGAATACTATTATACATTTGATCTCTACATTTTATCTTTCTATCATGAATACTTCTAGTAGTTAACAGTACATATCACGCCAAGCTGCAAACACCCGAATAATCGCCTGCGAGCACTTATTCTTACATGACTTGAATGCACTCAGAATTCTTCTCAAAGCTCTGTTTTGTAGACTTTGAAAGAGTTCAGTGAAGTTTCCTTGATTGTTTCATCAAACTTGAACTTCATAATCAGCTACTGAGGTAATACAGACTATGTATA